GGAAGTTAAAAAAAAAGATATTACTATAAATGTGTCTGTAGGCTGTCTAAAAATCACAACAGATAACTTATCCCCATAAAACATCAGCAATTGAGGTTACAATTCGACGATATATATATATATATATATATATATATATATATATATATATATGGAATTTATAAAAAAAGATATTACTATAAATGTGTCTGTAGGCTGTCTAAAAATCACAACAGATAACTTATCCCCATAAAACATCAGCAATTGAGGGAAGTTAAAAAAAAAGATATTACTATAAATGTGTCTGTAGGCTGTCTAAAAATCACAACAGATAACTTATCCCCATAAAACATCAGCAATTGAGGTTACAATTCGACGACTTCCAGAAGGCTACAATTTAAAGACTTTCACGTAGATCGATGAATGTTACAAATCAACAACCTTCACGACAACCGATGAAAGCTCTGATCAATGGTCTTCACAACCAATAATGGGAGTTACAATCTGGCGACTCTCACATTTCAAAGAGCTAAAGCAAAGATTACTAAACAACGATCGTCGCAACGCTCTGACAGAAGAGATTACAAGCCAACGATCTCTTTAATCTAAGACGCAGGACTCATCCCTGTATCCCAGAGGTGAAGCACACGTGGCCTCATTCCAGAGTCAAAGCTATGCAAACGTAGCTCCTAAATGCTGCAAACGCAGCTTCCATTCACTGCCAAACGCAGCTCCTAAATGCTACAAAACACAGCTTCCATTCACTGCCAAACGTATCTCCTAAATGCTGCAAACGTAACTTCCATTCGCTGCCAAACGCAGCTCCTAAATGCTGCAAAACGCAGCTTCCAACCGCTGTCAAAAGCAGCATCTAACTGCTGCCAACGCAGCTTCTAACTGCTGTCAGCGCAGGTTCCATCTGTTGTCCAACGCAACTTGCAAACACTACGTTCAAATGTAGATTTTATTCCAGAATGCAGGACCTGTGTTTGACTCGTTCAAACACGAGTTGAACGGTTCCAGAAACCGTTTTCTCCCCATGATCTGAGGGATTTCCACCCCCACTTAGGAGCGGATTAAGGAGACAGTTACACCCTAATCAGCCCCACTTAGACGTGAATTAAGGGGGTGGTTACACCCCTTAATCCCCTATAAATAACTGAAAAATCAGTTTAGTTGAGGGTTCTTCGGCTTGGGCAGATTAGCGGGAGAAGGGGGGATATCTTTGGATCTTTGAGAATTTTGGAGATTTAGAGATCGGCTTCTTCAGATCATCTTCTCGACAACAGATTCGGTTAAGATCAATCAACTCTTTTACAAGAGTTTAAACTCGCCTAAGGTATCAATTCGTTCAGAGTTTCAAAGTTGCCACGCAAATCCTCCACAGCGTTAAATCGTGAGGAGAAGATACCGTTCTAGTGAAACAAGATGTTCGGATCGTCAACAAGAAGCAAACGACGTGAGCATTAGAGCGAGACATCTTATCGCTACCGTGAAGAACCCAGACTTAAACAAAGGAGAGAATTCAAATCGATTCTCCTCTCTTTTGTAATCCGCAATTCAAATTGTAATTGAGATCGAGAGAATATAAATCAAATTTCTTTTATTTTTTTACTACAAATTTTCCACCAAAACAGTGTCCCATACTCCCAGTACCTTAAATTTTTGTAGATTTCCAGTACTCGCACCTGTCATAGCCTACCATATGTACCTCGTGATTTCCTTTTTATAATAAAATGAACTCAGGCCTACCTTTCCTTGAAAAAAAATTTAGTTAAATTTAAAGGGTATCCCTCATAGTAGACTCCCTTAATCTTCTTTAGCTCTATATTTGAACCTCAGGCATCCTAATCTCTTAAGTAAGCTTTGGAAAACACAACTGGTTATATTTAATTATAGTTAGTCAAATTTAACTGTTATGATTTTAATTTCTTTGGAAAGTTATGCCCTTCATGAAGATAAAGGATAGATTAGAGTTTGGGAAAATCATATCATTACTTACTTTAAAAGCACGAGTTCGAAAAATCTTTTCTTAGTCAATATTATCCTTCACTTTTTAAAATATTTTATTAAATCTTAATC